TTAAAGCTGGACTCCACGACTGACATGATGAGGTGGACATTTAATTACCAATATGATCAATATCATCTAATTCCATATAGGTTGGAGATGGGCCCAGACCAAAACCCCAGGCCCAAAGACTCCTAATCTTTGAAGTTTAGATCCAGAGTTACCAGTTGGCCTCTTCTATCTGTAAAAGAAGCAGAACCAAATTCCTAGAACCAAACACCCATGAACTCTGGGGAGGTTCAGATCTAGACCCAAACTAGGCAGCTCAGGATCATTTTTAACAGAGAGGATGGGTAGCTTTCCCCTGAGTTAGATAGTTAGGGCCTTATTTTCAATATTTTGAATGACCAGAGCCAGTGTTCAGCCAATGCCTTGGATATGAGCCCATCCAAAGTCAGATCCCTACTTCCCAGGTTACTCTGAAAAAAGGACAGTGCACAAGAGAGAGAAAGAGAGAGAGAGAGAATCTCTTTCTTCAAGCATTGAAGGGGCAATATAAATTTAAGATTAGGCTCCAATAAGAACACAAAGTAGTCTTTGGGCTTGATTCTCCTTTCACAATAGTGTAGAGGAGGACCAACTCAAGCGAGTTATGCTAGTGTAAAACTGGTATACATTGGAGGAGAATCAAACCCCTTATTTTTTTTTTATCTTTGTAAAATTCTCTTGCAACCACTACCCTCTTGTGGTGAGTTTTCATCACTGTTCCAAGTTAATTTTTTTCATTTTCTTATTTTAAACTGAATAACAGAGATAAATATAGCATAAATGCATGGTACAGACACTCAGGAACTTGTTCTGACCTTTATTGTTTCAATTCAGAAAAGAATTATTTATTTTTTAAAAGAATATATGGTCCCTTTCTCTTTGTATGAACAGGTGCCCAGTATGAGAAGGTATTCTCCCTAACCTCAATGACCTAATTCACAGCTGGCATAAGAAGGCACAATTCTTACCCCATTTGGTGAGTTTGGCCCATGATACGTATTGTTCAGAACCCAGGGCCTGAAAACCCCCCCACAGAAGTCAATGAAAAGACTCCCTTTGACTTCAGTGGGCTTTGGGTCAGGCTCATAAGGCATGGTGGTTTGATATGTCTCCCCAAAGAACTAGCTCTGGGGAAACACACTAGTCAGCAGAGTTAATACGGTCCTGTAAGGAAACCAAGTGGATGTGAATTCACTGGAAGACTGTTAGCTACATGTGCAAAGCGTGCTATGAGAAATCTTGTGGACATCTCTGCTGACGGATTTTGGAGATTCGACAGTAGCACCTGGTAAGCCACCCTGCCTATAGTAACATTGTGTAGAGCAGAGCACACTGTCCGGATTTGGCAAATAGTCAACTAACACCAAAGTCCACTTGAAGTCAGTGAGCAGTATGGGTGCTCAAGCTCAGCCCCTCCAAAACTCAGGGCCGTAATGGAAGACCACTTGAGCAACCAGTGTGCTGAGTGAATCCTTCCCAATCTGGGAAAGATCAGCCCATGGACAAATGAATCATGCAGAGCCCAAGGCAAATGCTTTGTGCCAAAATTTATAAAAGTGCCCATCCATTTTGGGTGTCCTCCATCAGACATCCTCAGCCCAAGAGCTGAGCACCTGCTGCTCCTATTGACTGCAACTGGAGTGGGGGGGTGCTGCAGTACCTTTGAAAACCAAGCTCTAAGGTATCTGAAACTGGGCACACAAAATCAGTGGACAGTTTGAAAATGTGGGTCTCATTACCTCCACTCATTTTATGCCATGAGAATTTTAAAGACTGGCAACATGACGACTCCCCAAAGTGTGCTGCTCATAATTCCCCAAAGTCTCTCCATCACTCGACACAGCAAACTCTCTAGCAAACGTTATTGCTCCATAATATAATACATGAAGCAACATTTATGGTGAAGAGTGTTCATGTTCTGCATTTCTCTGACTGCCACAATTACAGTGGGTTTAGAGATGTGTCTGACAAGTGGTGAGTTTAAATAAGCAGAAATAGCTGTTGTACAGTAGATGTCCTCATACAGTGACATGCACTTGGGTAAATGAGAAACTCTTGTATGCAATAGACTCATATATTTCAATTCTGTATCCAGAAAGAGGATTTCACAGATGAGCAAAAATATTATCACCCAATAATACTGTGCATAATTCCACCATAGTCTGTGGCCTTCCCCCAGCAATTTGGTCCATTCAAACCATATGACAGCAATCAAGGGGCCTGGTCATATAGCGTTATGGGTCAACTGTCTCATATTGACTAGTGTATCAACCACCCTGACATTCAAAAACGCTACCCCTAGTGCATTGTGGAGAGTCAGTCTATTCTAACACAGTTACTGACAAACTGCCTCATATGGCCACACTTGCTGCTCTTTAATACTACTTGGTCAGACCACACCTTCCCACTTGGGGAGGGCAGGGGGTAAAGAGGAAGAAGTTGCCATGAGGTGTTCATTGCTGAGATTTAGCCCTGATCATTCTGCTGGAGGGATGGCAGGGGTTTGGCCAGCTGGACATCAGTTAGGCCAAGCTTTTCCGTGTGAGGACATCAGGCATCTATGCTGGTTCTAAGACTCCAAGCACCACACTGGTGATGAGACTCCAACAAAGCCATGGTGGTAGGGCTCCTGCAGCCAGCGGATACCCTGGGGACCACCTTAAGACAGAATCCCCATGAGGAGGGCAGCTACAGAGATGTAATACAGTCTATAGCTGCATCTGGCCAATTTATTCCTCTGTTGGACCACCCCCTGCCTATCTCTTCCAGACACAAAGATCTCATCTAAGCTGCACTGAAATCATAGGCGCTGCGTTGATTTACGCCAACAGAGAATTCATATCTATCCTGGTGAAGTAATAGCATATTGTCAGAGGCCCTGATTCAGTAAATTCAGGAAAGCATTTAAGCATATGAAATCAATGGGATCCAAGCACATGCTTATATGCTTTCCAGAATCAGGGCAAGAAGGAAGAGTTTAGGAGTCCTGAGGCAGAAAGTGAGCCTCTGATCCACATTGCACTGACTTTACCGGAAAGATTCCCACTGACTTAAACGGAAATGGGATCGGGCTCTGAATGAGCTGACCTGACAAACTGGTGCATTACTGGAAATTCTAACAAGAGATACTAGAAGAACTTGTGTCCATACATTTGAATTTCCAAGCAGCTTCTGTAGGGGTGGCACCAAGTGCACTGAGCTGAAGAAAACAAAGAGAAAGCCAGATCAATACAGATGCTGGGGATGCAGAGCATGAAGGCAAGATTAGCATTTATTTAGGAATACTGTGGAGTGGTACACAAGCCAGGACAGATGGTAATAGACAGTGCAGCAGCGCCATCACCTGAGGGAAAGATGAGAAGGAGAAGCCAGCCAATTAAAATTCTAAGCAGAAATCCCAGTGTGGGTTCTAATTTTCTCACTAAGCAAATGCAGCAACTGATGGGTAGAAATTCAAATATCCCTCCAATGCAGACAACTCTCCGAAAGAAAATTGCCCCTTAACTGTTCTTCATTCCTAATATTGCATATTGCATAGAGACTACTGATGTAAAAGTATCATGCATAATATATTAAAGACATGGACAAAGCAGCAGCCAGAATTCACCTCTCTCCAGTGTTTTATATTCTATTACCGTTCTTTATACAGCACTACAGTGCTGCATGGTGCTTTGACACAGGTGTAGCCCCTGCAAAAGTTACAGTCATAGGCTCCAATCTTGCAAATAGTTGCAAACATGCTTAAATTTTGGTAGGATCAGGATCTAAGGACCCAGAGCTATGCCATGTGGAAACTGATGAGAATTCAGGACTCTCAGTATCAGGCCCAAAGTTAGTAACTTGGGTGCATTGTATTTTATATTTGTTTCCTTGGCAATGGAGCAGGAGAGAAGTGAACAGTAGTTGAAAGAAGCAAGACATTAGGAACGACATGAAGGAGGTGAGCAAGAAAGCCTGGCACAATGGAGCTGTGAATATACTCCCAGCAGAGGGTGGCAGTATGAAACACAGTGGAATATGGCTCCTAGCATCTTATGATCCATCTTCTCCTATCCAGAAATCTGATCCAGGCAGGCAGGTACGTGTGCTGGATGGAGCCCCAGTGACTTCATTGGGACTCTGTACGGTGTAAGGTCTATCTGTGTGGGGCAAACTGTAGAGTTAGCGCAAACCCTTGATACAAGGGAGCATAAAGAAAAGGCATTCAGTCTCTTGAGATGTCGTAATGTCACTTATTCTTGTTGTTGAAAGAGTCCCTGGGTAGACAAGACATGAATTACCAATGTGATTAGAAATAAGACGGAGAGTGGGAGGAACCCTTAACAAAATGCAGGCCTTCTTTATAAATCATAAAAGAAGGAACCAGAATAAAAATATACATGCTGTGGTGGAATTAGCCTATAGAGCTATGGGGTGATAGGGACTCTCAGGTGGAGTGGGAGGCAGTTAGTGAGAGGATCTCAACTTTGCATATTGAGTTTTTCAGTATAGAAAAATGGAGATCTGTGTGCTAGACACTTTAGTGCTACATATGTTTGTGAAATGCTGGGATTGTCTAAGTATAGCTTTGTATCCTTCCACCAAAACATCCCTCCTGCCCCTCCCCCACAGCACCCCCCATCCTGCCTCCCCCAATCCCCTCAACATCCCCCTCCCCCCACAGCAACCCCCATATCCCACAACAACCCCCAATATCCCCCTCCTCTCAACATCCCCCTCCCCCACAGCAACTCCCAAAATCCCCCCTGCAATATCCTCCTACCCCAACAGCAACCCCCAATATCCCCCTCCCCCAGAGCAACCCCCAATATCCCCCTCCCCACAGCAGCATCCCTTCCCCCTGCCCAGCAACCCCCAATAATATCCTCTCCCCACACAGCAACGCCCCAAACACCTCCCACCGAGCCCCGCCCAGCAGTCCCCGGAGTCCTCCAGTGCATACGAGAGGGGCGGGACAGAGCGGCTACAGCTCCGTCCCTAGGCTGCGGGCGGAAGTGCGTAGCCCGCTGAGCCGGGCCCGGAAGTGGTGGGTGGCGCGTGCGGAGTCGCCTGTGAGGGGCCGCTGCGGGCACCGAGCGGGGCGGCTCTGAGGCCGGGGCCGGGCAGGAAGATGCCAGTGGCGGTGATGGCGGAAACCTCCTTCAGCTTCAAGAAGCTCCTGGAGCAGTGCGAGACCCAGGAGCTGGAGGTAGCGGGGCGGGGGCCGGGGCTCGCCGGGACCTGGGCTCGGCGGCAGGAGCCGTTAGACCCCGGTGGGCTCAGGGGCGGGAACCGGCGCGGCCGGGCGCTGGTGATCAGTGGCCGCCTGACGCGCTTGGCGGGCGGCTGCTGAGCCCCCCCGCGGAGGGCGCTAGGTGGCCGCTGCTCTCCCTAAGGTGCGGGCTAAGCCCGGGGCCACCGCCTCCCGGGGAGCCGCGCAGCCGCTTCTGCCCGCCGGGGAAAGGGGAGCGCTGGGACTGAGGCCGCGTGGCCGGGCGGGTCGGACACTGGGCTGGGACTCGGGAGACCTGGGTCTGCCGCCGGCCTGATGTGCGACCTTGTACGGCTCGCCGCCTCTGTACAGTGTGTGTGTGTGTGTGTGTGTGTGTTTCCTCGTGCCCTCGGTCTGGTCTCTTTAGTGTGAAATTCCTCAGAGCACAGACTATCCCTTACTCTCCGTGTGTGTGTGTGTGTATATATATATATCTCATATATATGAGAGATTGGGCACCAATCATACTAGGCACTATATATATATAGTGCCTAGTGATTGGGCACCAATCTCAGTTGGGCCTTCTCTCCATTACCATAATACTGCCGATGATGATGATGATAATTAATAATAGTTCCTCCCAGGGTTTAATTCCTGGACCCTTTTTGGAGAAATCTTCTGTAGCTTTCTGTAGAAAGTGTCTAATAAACGTGAAGTTCTCACATAAGCTGGCTGCTTAGAAGAAGGAATATTCTCTTTTCTTTTTCCTCACATCCCAGAGCCCACTGGCTACAGCAAAGTGGTCTGCACTAATATACCCCTCTCTGCTTGTTTTTTGAGTCCTGCTCAGTATGTGTTTTGTGCCTGTCTGCAACCATGTGAGTGTCTTGTCAATTTCACTTCTGCACAGTAATGTTCTGAATAGCAGCAGTGGAAGCTGGAGAAGGCTGGCCAACTTTGTTCTACTGCAGCTTGAGAAAGCTCTGTGCTATCTCCTCCTAGCTCCCTGATGTTGGGAGCATGGAGTTGCTGGAGTTCAGTGGACTCTTGGGAGCTATTACAAGCCAGCATAAATTTTAGAGGAACCTCAAAGCAGCTGTAAGTTATCCTAGCATCAGGTCTAGGAACATACTGCGCTTTCCTCCTGCACATTGAGCAGAGCACTGCAACTAGTTCTCAGTCTGTGTGTTTCACTAGATGAGCTTGTTAAAGCCCTTTAACCAAATCAAGGAGCTGTGCATCTGTCTGCGTACATATGTTTGCTGCATTGTCCTTATATGTGCAACACAACTGAAAGTCTAACAGAATTTTCATGTGTAATGAGTACTGTGTTTTCAAATTTGTAACTTTGTTTTAAAACCATTTTTTGTTTTCAAACTCAGCAGAGCGTGTGCTGCTTATATTGTACGTGTCAAGTTTGAAGTTGCGAAGCTTAACGGGTGTGGAGAAAGTAAATAAGGAAGTGTTATTTTCTCCTCATAACACAAGAAGTGGGGTCACCAAACGAAATTAATAGGCAGCAGGTTTAAAACAAACAAAAGGAAGTATTTTTCACACAACGCACAGTCAACCTGTGGAACTCCTTGCCAAAGGATGTTGTGAAGGCCGAGACTATAACAGGGTTCAAAAAAGAACTAGATAAGTTCATGGAGGATGGGTCCATCAATGGCTATTAGCCAGGATGGTCAGGCATGGTGTCCCTAGCCTCTGTTTGCCAGAAGCTTGGAATGAGCGACAGGCGATGGATCACTTGATGATTACCTGTTCTGTTCATTCCCTCTGGGGCACCTGGCATTGCCATTGTTGGAAAATAGGATACTGGGCTAGATGGACCTTTGGTCTGACCCAGTATGGCCATTCTTATGTTCTTGTTCTCAGCTGGTAATCAAGGGGAGGGAATTTACATTCATCTCCAAAATGGCCAAAGGAATTTTGCTTAGCCTTTGTTTCAAAAACAAACAACACTTTCATGCAGAGACCAAGTATAGTAAAGTTCTGCCTAGAAATGGGGCTTGGGTGGGAACTGTCTGGATCCTGAAGTACAGTGGCTGCTGCTAAGGTCAATGTTCTAATTGTTGCTCATGTAACGAAAGACCTTATTGTAATCTACCCATGCTGGGGAGCAGAATTAAGGTTTCCGCAGAAACCTTAGTTAGTAATTTCCTGACTTGTTGGAATTAAAATCTTGACCTTAATATTGATGTAGTCTTTTATATAATTATCACAAAGCCAAACAGAGCATCTGTTCACAGCCATTCTCTGATGTGGAAAACAGCTAATTTTATGTGTAATGTTAGAATTATGGGTTCTCTCCAATTGGAATCAGAGGTATTTAATTTAAAAAAAATACTTCAGTTTCCCTTCTTAACTTTTTAAGATGTATAATCCAATTAAGTGAGTTGGATTTGTTTTTTAAGGCCCCTGGAGGAATTGCAACACCCCCAGTTTATGGTCAGCTTCTAGCACTATACCTGCTGCACAATGACATGTAAGTAGCTGTTACTGTTACCCTAAAAATTTAAAAATATGTACAGCAATTCAGTATCATCATTAGAACTTGATCTATACTTGTCAGAACTGTTTAAAAGCTGTTGTGTTAATAATTTGGTTTATAAAAATGGATTTATCCAGTGCACTGGGCACAAGTATGTGAAAACAACAGCAAATTTACAGACAAACTAATGACATGTGTTAGATCTCATGATTCTCTTCTTCCTTTTCAACTTGTCAAGAATAATAAATGCTATTTTCCCTGTAAATTCTTTTTTGTTCTCTCACCTACCCCTTCTTGAAAGCCTAGGAAAACAGCTGGGTCTTACAATGTTCAGCTTACTCAGCTCTGGTGGCTCATGGCTGGTAGCTTTCCAGAGTCAATGGCCATGTCTCTGATGAAATGTCCTGTCTTCATATTCTTTGCAATTAAACCAGGGGGCTTATCTTCTCAAGCACCATAGGCATGGTTTCATGCAAGAAAAGTGTCAGTTTCTCAAGCAGACATTACCCAATCCAGTTACTTTGGCAGCTGGTGGAGATCAGGAAGCACAGCTTGTAATTTACCACCACCTGGGAGAGAGTGTATTCGGCACTAGCTGAAGCTTCCAAATAGTCTTCCAGCATAGCCCAGTGTAGTGTGAATACTGTGATCTATTCTGGAGATGACAGTGGAAAACTGGCAAGGTCCACGTAATGAAGAAAAGGTCTCAACCTTCTAGACAACTATAGATGAAAAAGCATTTTTGGTCACTATTGGCTACCTAAATATTAGAGGCAATTGAAGCAAATGAGATTCCCCAATAGACTGCAAAGCTGTATTGCAACTTGTAGACAATCATAGAAACTAAAAACCGCCAACTAGTTCTTCTGATTGGGCATCAAAACAATCATTTAAACAGTTACTTTTAATCTTGTCTGTAATGCCAACCAGCAAACCCTAATTCAAGTCTCAATCTGGTAAACACAGGATAAATTGCTTAATCATAGTCTGAAATTTAAGACAGTATTGAGATTGGATTTATAGGTTACATTTCAATGATATTTAACACTTTCTTACTGGTGCTGGAAAATCCTGTAAGCTTTTTCAGATGAGCAACAATATAGATAAAATTGAGAAATCTTTGCTGCTCAGCTTTACAGTATGTGCATATGCTGTGTCACTACATTGATATGCATTGTTCTTGAGGGTGTATAAGAACAATCGGGAATAATTCTGCTTTCAGGCTTCTGAAAGCATGGGTCACATATGCAGTTTTTAGCATTTTGAGAAGTCAGCATCTACCCATGGATACCACCGAGTGATATCAGAAATCGCAATATTTCCTTTTACTTACAATGGAAGATCAGAAATATCCAACCGTTGTGTTTACTGTGTGGATAAATGGTGATATCAGTATTCTGGCTGCTCATAGGAGAGGAGGGATTGGCACAAAGGGTATGTCTACACTACAGGATTAATCCGAGTTTAGATAATTCGAATTTGGGAAACAGGTTGTATAAATTCGATTGTGCGCGGCCACACTAAGCACACTAATTCGGTTTTTAACCACATTAATTCGGTGGTGTGCGGCCACACTACCCCATTACTTTAACCACAGTAATTCGGTGGTGTGCGGCCACACTAACCCTAATTCGAATTAACAAAATCGATTTAGGCGCTACTCCGCTCGTCGAGGTGGAGTACAGAAATCGATTTTAAGTGCCCTTTAATTCGAATTAACTGGCTCTGTAGTGTGGACGGGTGAAGGGTTAATTCAGATTAACGCAGCTAAATCCGAATTAAAGTCGTAGTGTAGACCAGGCCAAACTTTCCAGTTAACAGGCTTGTCAGTTTTAGTGGGCACTCTGAAGATAAGGAAAAATCTTTACCTATATTACTAAATAGCATCTTAGATCATCTAGACTGAGCATTTTACCTCTTATTTACTACTTGCTTCTTGCATTTCACTAGGCTGGATAATGAACATAGACTTCAGTTTCTCTTTGGTGTTATCAGGTGCTGCTGTTTGTGTTCATAATATTGCAGGGGAATGTTTTCATTAAACTTCAGTGTCATGACATTCTGAACACTGGCTTGCAATATGTCCTCTTACTGCATCTATTTCAAAATACTTTCATAGTTGAATTTTTATATCTCGCTTGATATAAAGCCATTATACTGCAGATTTTTAAGCATTAAGATGACATTGTATATGGCATAAGTCTGTGTTATGCTACTAAATGCTTGATTTGTTCACCCCATTAAGTGTAGCACTTACATCTGAAGACATCTTTAATATCACTGTCTTTTCATAGGGTTCTAGCAGTAAACATCTGATGAATATAATTGTTAAACATAGTCTAACTGGGCTCTATTTTGTTTACTAGGAATAATGCACGATATCTTTGGAAAAGAATTCCTCCTGCTATTAAATCTGTAAGTACTCCCTTTAGTGCAGTTTAAGACTGGAGATGGTACTGTGCTCCATTTTACATGTTTGAAGAAAAAGGTTTTTCCAAACTGTGGCATTTAAAATAAATCTTCACTTTTGGTCTGAGCTATATGGTTGATGAATGGCCAGGTTCAAAGGTTTGAGCTCTTCAACCACTTTGCCAGCAGATGGCACTGCCAAGGCATGTCAACCTGTTCCCTCTACTGACAGGGATCATCTGCATCTGTCTGCTCCTGCAAAGTGCTCTCTTATTCTATCTCTTTTGCTACCCAAAATAATTAGCCTTTCAGGCCACCTACTCAAAATATATTGGCGTTCAGCAAATCAGCAACAGTTGTTGGAAACCTAGTTCCTTACGACAAAAATGGCCACCAGCAGAAAGAAGGCAAAGGTCCTATTCTGAGTATTGTCAGGCAGATACATCCTGTAGTTGATTCACAACCTCAGCCAACTTTTCAAAAGGTCAAAATGGTCTCTGGGAACACTTCTGTCACTGTTGGAAAGAGGAGGCTGATAACATCACTGGATCTAATTTATAATTATATTTTCATGTGAATGTTTCCTCTTATTGGCATTCATTTCAGAAGGTTCTGTCCGACTTACCACCCGGGATTTAGGAGACATTACAGCGTTCAGTGTAAATTACTATTCTCCCTATGATACACTGGAGTGCAGTAGAATCCTAAAAGACAAATCTCAGAAAAAAAATTTTTTTTTTTTCTTCCTCCTTGCACCTCTTGGTATAATGGATAGAGGACTGAAAATAAAACAGCCAACAGGTATAGCAGGAACCTAACTGCACGTTTTGCGTCTCATGGCTACAGTGATGTGTAAGTACCAGAAACGATAGAGCACTTCCATATGAGCCACACTCCAAGATATCTGAGATATGTGGCCACAAGCCAGACTGATACATCATTCCAAAGTATGATTTAGTGAATTCCAGTGTCTGGGTTTCCAAATTACAAGTGAATACTGAAAGCGCTGTATTGAACTACTGAATCAATAGTGTAGGTTTACTGTAATGCCCTGCTTGAATTAGAACCACCTTTTGAGATGTCAGGTCTCTAATAGCAAAAGTGCTTGCCTGTTTGTAGGATTTTTCTTTAGAATTTGGGTGTCTAAAGATACAATTGGGGTCAGAAAGCTTTTACATAAAGAAATAGGGAGGAAGTGGCTCTGCAGCCCTCTGCCAGGTCTGAGACTGGGTAATATCTCCTGAGATACTTCTGAATACCACTTTCCTAGCAGTGACGGAAAGGTCAATCAGGCTCAACCGTTTGATGATAAAAGTCCACTAGTGGTCTCAGTAATATTGCTGGGTCAAACATTTTTTGTATCACACTTGCAACACATCTTGCCACACTTGTTAACGAGGAATTACTAGTAATTGTCACAGCAGCCTTTGCATCTTCCTCTGACAAAACTTATGGGAGGTAATTTCCATGATCCTCATGCCATTTTGTGGATCGAAACAGAATTGACATGTCAAACAGGACTGAGAATCAGTCTCCTTTCATGTTGGAGGTCTTTCCTCTTCTTCTCACCCAGACTGCTGCCCATTTCTATTCTAATATGTAATTATTAGTGGCACGTTGCTCTGGAGACTAGTTAGCAAAATCCACTTTGTTGGCTACATAGAAGAATCTCTATTAATTTCTTCCTATATTTATACAACTGGTTTCTAACTTTTCCACCTGATTGCTTTCTGTTTATATCTGTTAGTTTGTAAACTTAATCATCCAAGATTAGTCCACTTTAAAAAAAAAAAAGTGTGGTATAATTGTATATGTATGTTTCTTGCTTCCTTCTGCACTACATATTTTGGGTGGTGAAGCAGGTGTAGAAAGATGGAATAGGCAAATAACATGTTTTACTCTGTGTTGCTTAGCTGCTTTGTCTGTGTAAAAAAATTAGAATTGTTTGAACTGGATCATCACTCTTATACCAGTATCAGTGACATGTGGTACTGTACTGTCTGAATCTTAATATCAAGATTACTGTAGTATTTCATTCTAATTGTTCTGATTCCTACTTGTTCCGAGAGGGGAAAAATATACTTTCAGCAAAATGCAATTAGTAGTGGAGTGGTCATGGCAGGGAATAATACATATGTTCTGTTTTGATTGCTTGCTTTGTCACTGTAGGCAAATTCTGAACTTGGTGGAATTTGGTCAGTAGGACAAAGAATTTGGCAGCGAGACTTTCCAGGAATCTACACAACAATCAGTGCACATCAGTGGTCTGAGACTATTCAACCAATCATGGAAGCACTTAGAGGTACAAAAAATATTCGTTTGAAAACTTAACACAGACTAGGGGCGGAGAAGTTTAATTTGAATTTGTTTTGTTGGCCATATAGGACTACATGCTACCATTAACCCTTGCTCAAGACTCCCTCTGAGTTCTAGGAGGTTGTATTTTGGCTTGGATTTTTAGTGTATGCTAATTTGTTGTTTTTTGCTTAGATTGTGAATTCCTTGGGGCAAGGACATTCAGCCAGGCACTTTGACAGTTCTTGATAAATAGAAATAGGTTTTGGTAACTGACTTGGGCTTTCTGCAGTAACTGAGCAAATACCCAGGTGTTTTGTTTTTTGGTGTGTTTTAAGTAGAGCAGTGAATCTTGAAAAATCTGAATCTTGAACATTTTGAATAAATTTCTTTACCCATATAAGTTATTTATGAAACCAGTAGCTTTGATAGAATATTTTGAGTGTACAAATCTGTTTATACTACTGATTAATATTTCATTTGAAAACAAAATTAGACCCTGATCCTGCAATGTGCGCTGTGCAAGTAAAACCCCTGCTCATGTAGAACTCATTGCAGGGCTAGGCCTACTTTCGCTTTTCAAATGAAATATTAATTAGTACTGTAAACAGATTGATAGACTATTTTGAGTGTACAAAAGCTATTGGTTTCATAAATAACGTACATGTGTAAAGAAATGTATTCAAAATGTTCAAGATTCAGATTTTTCAAGATTCAATAAGTCTGTGGGCTTCCTTGTTTTGGGAATATACTATTACCTTGGTTTAACATTACAGTATCTAAAGGGAAAAAGTATATTAACCATTTGGGGCTGGCGGGAGTAAGTGTATTTTCCACATTCAGAAACTAAGTAGATACAGTCCAGTTTAGAATAACAGTATTTCAGCACCTGCCACAGTGGTGGCCAGCCTGGTTGGTTGTGACCCTTAGATGCTACCACAATGTGTGTGTTTAATAATATGTGGAACAAATGAGCTAGAGCAATATTTTACTGAACATCTAATATTTACTAAACATCTAAAACTTTAAGATACTGCTAATCCAAGGTAAGAAAAAACTTGTTGAATATCCCTCTAACTGAATAATAGAAATTTATACAGAGTGTATCGCCAGTAACACCACATTGTGTTGAAGGGATATTTCCAACTTGTTAAGAATAAAAATCAACCTTGAAGATTGTCCCATAGCCTTCAGAGGTCTTACCTGACGGATTTCAGATATGAAACTTACAGGAACACATCAGTTTCAAAATTAGATTTAAATGATTTCTTCTTACAAACTTTGATGTACTGTAAATAGAATGATGGTCATCTTTTGCTCTCACATTATAGTCAAGTTTTAATTGCATTTCTGGAATACGGATGATCAAGCTTCAGATATGACTCAACTTTCAAAAAAAGTCCCTCTTATTGGATTCCACAAGCTTAACAATGTCCCTTTAAAATTAGTCCTGCAGCTAGCAGGATTCTAAGGAATCTTATTTGGAGTTTGTCCATAACTGCTTACATTAGACACAAATTCTACTTTTTTTTTTTTTTTTAAATTAGACACTTAGTGCAGATGTTTCTGAGTAGTAACATTCTGCTTAACACTAATGTGCTAATAGCTTTTCACTGCAAGGGGGCACTAGAGTCTGTGGAAAATTTTTTTTCCAGGCTATTTCACTCTCCCATCCCAAAACATGAATTCTAGTTCATTCTTTGTGCTAATAAGGAAACAGTTTGATGTAGTGTTACTTTGGAGCCATATTGGGATTAAAGCATCAAGCATTATAGAAATTTAAGACATGAATGTCATTTATTTAAACAGTCCCTTATTGAATAATTATATTTAAACTTTAATTAGTAATTGAATTTTTATAACTTTGCAGAAATAAAATTGTATAGCTAATTAGCTATGAACATTTCAGTTTTACTTACAATAAAATTGGAAGCATTTTAGCACTTTCTGGGCTTACACCAGAAATGTTTTAAAATACTAAGATGAATTTTCTAGGATTTTCAGAACATGTTATCCAGATCCTATCATTCTGAATGAGCCTAGTCCTGGGCTCAAGAGCAAAGTGACTAGACTGTACCTCATACCCTTTGTACTTAAATGTTAACTGTTAAGGCACAGGTTTGGGAGATAGATGATCTAGGTTCTGTTCCTAGATCTACCACAGACTTGGGCAAGTTGTTTTAACCTCTTTGCCTCAGTTTCTCTATCTGTAAGTCATGATACTTACTGCTTGCCTCATAGGGGTGTCGAAGCTCAGTTAATATTTACAAAGCCTCTTTTAGGCTTGCACTCAATGGAACACACTGTGTAAATATGAACTATTAGTATTAAGCACCAGATTTTCAGAAATGTGGCTCTCCACTGTTATGTGAGGCCACGCAAAGCATTTTCGGACTTGCTGCGTGTTTTGAAGACTGTTACAATTGTATCATTTAAAAATGTGTTCCCCTTAATAGATGCAACTAGGAGGCGAGCTTTTGGACTGGTTTCTCAGGCATATACCTCAATAATTGCAGATGATTTTGCAGCCTTTGTTGGACTTCCTGTAGAAGAAGCTGTGAAAGGTAGCTTATTCTTTTACTTTTTGGATTGTCTTTCACGGACAATTTTGTTTTGAGGCTGAGACCAAAATTAAATTGACTAACTCAAGAATCCCATTATAAAATAAAAGTGGTTTAAGAACACTTTTCCTTCCTTACACCAAGTCCAAAAAAAAAGCCAGGGGGCCCTCTGTATTTAGAAAATTCTTCATTGTAGGCCTAACAGATTTCGGTGAAAATGTTTCAAATAAATTGAAGGAAAACTGGAGATAAAGTTGACCTTTATGAAATGTTACTAATGGATTTATGTATGGTCCTGATTTTTAATAGAACAGTGTTTGTCCGCTTGGGTCTGAAGTCTTGTCCATAAAAGAAAACCTTTACAAAACCTAATTAATAGGGTTTCCATTAATGTAAATCTGTCTTGGAATTTAAATATTTCAAAGCAGTGTTACAATGTGAATATTGCCAACAATTGCTTGTACCTGAGAATCGGAAAGTGACACTGGTTAGAAACCATAGTGACATTTCCTTTTTTATATTTCTCTCATCTTGTTGGATTCAAATAAAGTAAAATTAAAGTATAAATGTATACATTAAATAACATTTCAAAAAAAAATTCAGTTTTAATAATCTAGGGATATCTGTAACATGTGAGGTACATCTTGCTGAGAAAGTTTCACCTTGCTCGGTTCTCTGCCCAGTGAGGTCCCACTTCCACTGCTGTTCCCATAACTCATTTTGCGGGAAAGGGATGGGGCGTAGAGGGGTACTGCAAAATGAAGTGGGGAGGAGGATCCAAAAATAAACATAAGCTTGAGATTATTGTGAAAGGAGATGATGACTGAAAAGGGAAACAGTAAAAGCAAATTGCTTAATTTTTAGGATGAGAAAAGTATTTGAGTTCTCCAGTTACCACCACTTACTAGATTAGGAGCCACAAAAAGCCTTCCTCCTTTGAAATAGCAGAGGAATTCCATTTTTCTTGAATGTGAGAAGCCCACGCTCCAGGACAAAAAATGAAAGTAAAGCTTTGCATCAGGCCTGACTGAATAAGTCTCAGGATACTATCACTTCTACAAAGGTCATGCATTTGTACAACTAAATGTCTCCAGCAGTGCCTCTTGTCATGAGCTCGTCTGAGAAATAACTTTTACTGTGCAATCCAACTTTTAAAGTGTATTGAGACATTTTTCCAGCAAGTGGGAACTTTGGGTTATTTGATACTGGAGTCAAACACACAGGGTATCATTTCTCCCTCACCCCTTTCCCTTCAATGTGCCAACCTGTTTCCCTTTAGCTGATCACCTCCTAAATAAACCTAGTCCCCCCCTCCCCCCCCAAATTGTGGATCTAACATAACACTTGCTGTCATCACATTGTTCGCTTTGCTTCTGTGTTCCTACCCTTTCCCTCACACTGTGTCTGTATTGTCTATTTAGATTGTAAGCTCTTCAGGGGAGGGACCATGTCTTGGTCGTGTTTATACAGCGCATAGCAAATGGGGTCCTGGTCCATGGCTGAGGCTTATAGGTGCTATGATAATACATATAATAAATTGTAATAATAGTAATCGTTTTGTTCTTATGAATTTTTAAAATGTATTTTCAGGGGTGTTAGAACAAGGCTGGCAAGCAGACTCAACAACTCGTATGGTAATGCCTAAAAAGCCAGGTAGGTGGAGCTGTTATTCCATGATGCATTTTGGATCTGGCTTGGTATTTCTAGTATTGTATCCTTTAGTGTCATTAAAATGATGCCTAATATAATTTGAGTTTGTTTTGTATAACAAGGACATCTTGACACAGGAGATTAGGGGAGCGGCTCCATAGAGCATACTTTTTGCCAATGACTTTATACTGTTCTGTAAAGATAAATACTAACTGGAAAGAGACCTAGAACTTTGGAGGGCTGCATTAGAAGAAAATGGCATACAAATCATCCGACAAAAGATGGAACATGTGCAATGCTTCATTGAGAGGGACAACAAGAAGCCAGTAAAATTAGTGTGTGCAACAGTTGAAGTACCTCGGTTCAGTGTTGAGCCATTCGGAGAATGTGGCTTGAATAGTGCTTGGTGTAAATGAAGGGAGTTGGTGGGAATTCTCTGTGATAAGACAATGCCAAGTAAACTACAGAGCAAAATGTGTAAGATCATGATTAGGTCAGCCACAATATATGGGTCAGAATGCTGGCCAATAAGGACGAGAAAACTACTTCTGCTTCACGCTGCTGAAATGAGAATGCTCAGGGGAACACTTGGGTAAGACGAGAGCTGGTATGCTATGTAATGAAATGGTACAAGCCACGAGGCAGAAAGTCTCCATTATGGAAAAGCTGAGGGAGTATTGACTGAGATGGCTGGGTCCTGTGGGATAATGTGGGTTACGTTGGCCAGGGAGTGCAAGAGCTAGTAATCGTGGGACAAAGATGATGAGGAAGACCTGGAAAAAGGTGGTTTGAGATGCTGAAGGACGACGTGAAAGTTGATGTCAGCTTGGAATATGCCCTTGACAAGAACCCTTGGAGACGAAGAACAAGAGTCGCTGACCCCGACTGACAAGGCAATGGTGGAGAAGATTGTATAACAAGAGCTAATGCAGGAGCACAATATGAGATGCTCAAAATGTAAGAAACATGAATCAGTGGCTTTAACTTTGGCACAAGCAGTATCAGTTAAACTAAAAGGACCCAAACCTTTGTAAACAAAAGGAAACAGAATATGCTTTAATTTCTCCTACTCCCCTTCTATTTACTATTGGTTCCGATGACTCAGTGGAACATGTTACATGACCTCAACTGACATTTCTTAATCTAATAAAGCTTAGTTAAAATTTACTATTTTGAAACACATGGTGTTTCAAACTAAAGTTCCTTACTCGTGGGACTTAGAGGATCTGTCTTCCTGTGCCTTGTGATTAAATTGCTGGAACTCGTGGAGTCGAGCCTGCTGAAAACATCTAGTGCAAGCAGCTGATGTAAGAATTGTCTGAACCTGCTGTTTACTATTTCCCAACACAAGGAGGATTCCCTGATAACCGACACTATGAACAAGGCTTAATTAAAGTAGATTTCCACTTATTGGCGACTACTCGGTTGCCACCTAAAAGTTGCCATTATTCGGCAGTTGCCAATAAGCAGAAGGCAGGTTTGTGAGGCTGCAGCTAGGGAAGGAAGCTCTGGGACGTGCCTTCCCTGGCCTTAGTCTGCAAACTTGCCTGCGGGTAGGGCAGCAACAGGGGGGGCCACTGGAGCCCGGGTGCTGGGAGCCCATGGAACTGCACAGTACTTCTTCCTGTGCTCTCTGGGCATCAGGGCTCATCATGTCCCAGTCCTTCCTTGAGTGCAACCCTCCAGCAGGACAGTGTTGATAGCACAGTGCGAGGTACTGTGCAGCTCCAGTATCCAAGTTTTAGCTACTGCTCTGCCCATAGCCTCCCCACCCAGCCTGCAGCATCTCCCCTCCTGTGCGATCCAGGTGCACAGGCAAGTTTGCCGGGCTGCAGCCCCAGAAGGAAGCACTGGGATGTGCTGAGCACAGGCTGCAAGAAAGTTTGCAGGGCTGCAGCCGGTGAAGACGCATCCCAGCATCTCCCTTCCTGGCTGCAGCCTAGCAAACCTGCCTGCAATTGGGGTCTGTCTTCCAAAATATGTTGTGAATAAATGGCATGCCATTGCCAGTATCCAAATCCCATTAACATTAAAGTCAATGGAACGGGATTGGTTCCTGGCAAAACATTGCTGTTAACCGGAAGTTAATACCTGGGTTGCTGTTAAGCAGAATCTACTGTGTGTAAAATGAAGTATGTTCAGTGTGCCCAGTGCTGGGTGTAAAAAAGAAAGCAAACATTTTGTGCAGATCCTTCAAATGTGTAAGGAGGCAGCCAGTAGTACGGTGTAGTTCAGCATGATCACGTATTTACATGTCTGTGTTTTCAGACTAGATTACACGCTCCACTACAGCTTTTTTAACTGTAATTGTGGTATGGTATTGAAAAGATAAAGCAAGTTTTTGCAAACAGCACACTGGGAAATGCTTGTCTTTAACAAAAGTAATGCTAATTAATTTCTATTGATGTAAAAAGTTGAGCAAAATTTTGTGAAGGGCAGAGACTCCTGTTCTAAACTTCTTAAATAATAGTTTTAAACAGCACCATTTATTAAAAAAAAAAGAGAGAGGTGATTAGATCTGCCAGAATATATCTTGCTCCTAAAATGTACTGTTGCATTTAACAAGCTAGGAAAAAATCCTACTGCCTTGGGCTCCTGAACAACTAAAACCCTGCTCACCCAAACAAAAAATGATGATTTAATGTGTTCCAGACAAGGTGATGAAATTCACTTATAATCCTGTGTGTATTGACTGACCTGAGGCTTGAACCATCTGACTCAGCTGAACAGACACATCCTCCATTTTTTCCCCCCTGCGATGTGGTGATGTTTACAGCAAAACTATTTGCAACCCACACTGCGCTTACTAGTGCATGTAACTCAAAATGTTGTCTGGGGCTGAACTACCATTGTGAGACAAATGAAATCATCAGGAGGCCAGTCGTCCTTTTCAGTCTCTCATTCACTATGCCTAGGAGTTTAAATGTACAGATATTATACTATACAATGAAAATTTCCATGAAAGAAAATAGTAACAGGTTTGTTTCTAAGAGTTTGTCTTCACTACGGGGGTAAGTTGACTTAAGTTACGCTGTTCCAGCTACATGAATAACCTAGCTGGAGTCGACGTAGCTTAGGTTGATTTATCCCAGTGTCTTCACTGTGCTGTGTCGATAGGAGACGCTCTCCGGTCAACTTCTCTTACTCTTCTCGGAGAGCTGGAGTACCAAGAGCGCTCTGTCATCGATTTAGCGGGTCCCGATTCCTACTGCATCAATTGCAGCAGCGTCAATCTCCCTGTAGTGAAGACCAGCCCTATGAATTTATAGGGTTTTAGAAAATTTTGGCTTGGTAAATAAGAATTGTATTTTTAGCAAAATGGGTCCCTTAATTGATTAACATTTCCATTGCATTTTTCCTTTAGGGGCACTGGAAGCTTCCTTTAACAGATTTATTCCTTTACCAGGTATTTGCTCATTTTGATTTATTTTAAAAGGTGTAATATAGATAAATACACAATTTGCCTTTCTGAAACTCTTATGTACCCTTTACATATGTAAACAAAACAAATAGCTAACTCAACACCACCTTCTCAGCAATGCCAAATGAAACACAAAACCTCCAGCAATTCACTCATTGACCAGACAATATTAACCACCTCCTCAGCCCCTCCCTCCCACAGACATCTAAGTGAGGGTGAGCATTGTGGCATGCCCAGGAACCAGTAAAACCCAGGCTAGTTTAGACCAAGTAGAGAGCTGGTTCCAGAATAGAAACACCCTTGGAGAACTGTCAGTTCCCTCTCCTAAACTGAGATGGATCCAGCTCAAGCATCTCACTGTGATTGTCATAAGGAGAGTTACCTCTCAAGTAGGCAAGTCCCAAGTGGTTAAATGGCTTTATAGCCTCTGTGTGATACAAAGAATGTATTATCTTAATTTTTCCTTTAGACGAAAAATTTGAAGTAGATCTTTCTGCTTCCATCTCTCATTTTATTTTTTAAATGTAACTGAAGGCTTCATTATAGATTAAGCTGTACAATTTTCATTGGTGATGCTGGCACCTAAAACTCTGTTCTCTACATTGTACAACCAAGTATGTTCAGAATAAATCTGATTTGATGGTTTGACACATGCATTATAGATTCCAAGTGAACTTAAATTTGCTGGAGGTTTGTCTTTCCAAGCCAGTGTGAAGTCTCTCGCTTTCTGAAAGCAAGCTTTTTTAAACAGATAGCCTTCTGTTTTCCCCCACCTGGAAGTAGGGTGCTTCACATACGTGGGGTTGAGGATTCATTTTTTATACGTAGGCTAGGTGAATATCTCCCCAGTGTACTTTTACATCAGAGAAGACTTTACAGGAGGAATCGCTTCTATATAACACATTGTTTCTCTGCCTTCCCTTTGACTCCTTGTGTTCTGTTTTCCTTTCTTCTCCCTGCACTGTTTTTCATTTCTCCTCCTAATTATCTCTTGCCTCTATTCTTGACGGTCCTTTCTTCTCACTCTACTCTCCTTTTCTCTTACCCCTACATTTCATTCTCTATTCCTCTAATTTTCCCTTCCATTTTCAGTTATCCTCCTCTTTAACCTGCACTTCACCCTTACCACCGGATAACTCTGCATTCTTGTAGAGTTTGTACATGTACTATGGCTGCCTTCTCTTGCCAGCCATCCAGTGCTTTTTCCACCGTGTCTTGATTAAGTATGTCTCACTTTACCTTAGAGACATGACTCAGCAGACACGCTCATTATTGCTGCTTCTAGAGCAGGGGTGGCCAAACCGCAGCTCACGAGCCGCAGGCAGCTCTTCACAGTTAAAGTGCGGCTCACGGAGACCCGCCTCCCTTACCGCATTCTCTACCTACCAGACTGGGATTGGGGGTTGCTCAGGGCTTCTGCCCTGCATCAGGGTGGTGGGGCCCAGGGGCTTCTGCCCTGTGGGGAGGGGTCTCAGGCCTTCAGCTGAAGCCCCAGCTGGTGCACCCCGGAGGGCTGAAGCCCTGGCTTGGCTTTCGAACTTCTGAAGATTATTGTATGTGTCTGAGAGGGTCAGTAAGTTTGGCCACCTCTGTTCTAGAGGAAGGCAGAATGCAAGCAGACCTATAGGAACTTTACTGTCGTTGAAGATGCTGCAGGAGTCCTTTCCAGAGTTAGCAAACAGATATGACATGCTGGAAACTTGGCAGTCCTTCAATATATGCAAATAACTCTTGAAGAGTGAAGAGGTCTAGAAATAGTGATAGACGTATCCTAGCTATTTGTAACTTTTGTTGCAGTCGTGGTGTGTAATGGGCCAAATAAGTAACTTCTCCACAACACAACATAAGAATATATGAAGAGATTGCAAGTAGGAGTGTCAGTCACTCTAGGGCTGATGAGGAAACAATCTGAGAAATTTAGTTCGCATTTTTCTTTAATGTCAAGGGAGCTGGGATGGGTGATGTTGGGTTCTGTTTTGCCTCTTTCATTTTATTAATGCTGTGTGTCTTTTGTGTTCTTTATAGAACCTGCTACAGTTCCACCAATTCCTAATGAACAACAGTTGGCCAGATTGACTGACTATGTGGCTTTTCTTGAAAATTAATTACCCCATTCCTGTGTTCAAGACAGAACCTGGAAATTCTGTGTACTGGCAGTTCTACTATCTAAAACTTACTTTTATCCTGTTTGTTAAATGTCGCAGCCTCCCCCTACTGGAATATGTTGATAAAATATATATAGTATATATTTTGTTCCTATATGTGTTTTGCCAAAGCAAAGTTAGTAGTTGAAATAGTCCTTCACTCCAATAATATTTATCCATTAGGTACACAGCAGTATTACATGTTAAGTTTTATTCTCTTATGACTCTTAGCGAGAAAGGGCATATCTCTCCAACTGTACTGATATAGACTATTGCAAAGCAGCAAACAGAAGGAAAGAGAAGAGTTTCCATCAGCGAAGGAGATGAATGTAATTATGTCCTTTGTACTCATGACTTCGATGCTTCCATTGCTGGCAGTGGAATCCTTACCAGGAAAATCGGTCACAAATGGATTAAGTATAAACAGGGGAAAGCTATTCTACCTGCATCTGTAAAGGGGAAGCCTTGCAAAGTACAATAAATATTTAGTTGTGAACCATAAGTAACAGCAAGTTACAGTAACTATTACTGTACTTTCCTGCAAGATTCCTTCCATTTATGGTGAGATTTTTATAACTGGTTACTCTTATATCCCATTGCTTATCTATTTCTGAGTTGTCTTATTTCCCCTAGGGTTAGTTTTGAGTGCTCTGTGAAAACTGTTTGTAGGCTGGTGTTCTTTTTTTTTTTTTTTTACTGCAGACTGATATTTTTAATATACCTGGGGCACCTAGAGAATACATTTCAGAAAGTTGTTGTGGAGGATGGCAAATGTTCACTTCACTTGCTCTGAAAAAGCACTTGGTTTTGGAAAGCTTAACTTTTAAGAGCAATCACTCTTGGGGCACTCAGACCAATATTTTACCCTGTAACTTGTTGGAAAGTTATGCTATGTTTCTCAATACTACTCTAAAACCTGGATCTACTTGTGTCATAGGCTGGTGATGGCTTCACCAGAAGGAGTTTTTGTCTGCCTTTGTAGCTTTCTGGACTATTCTTGTCATTGGAAAAGAATTTAAAAATTAGATGCCTTTGAATAAAATAAATCTATGGAGGATGGGCTAGAGTATGCTGCACTGTCAGTTCAAGTAGCGTACATCCTGTACCAGAGCACTGCTGTATTAATCCTTGAATTCAGAATCGGAAAGGAAACAACTTACTTTCCCTTGCCTGATCCTAATGTTTAAAAAATGGAGCCGGGGCGCATAGTGGTGCTTTAAGGGGCAGTGCATGCCTTTACCTTCCTCTCTCCTTTCATTTGGTTATCGTCAACATATTCAGTGGTTTGTCACTTGAAGATGGCAGGTTCTTGTTATCTGTAGTGACATTCTCCCAGTGTGTGCTACCTACTGTACATTCTTTTGTTTGGGGTCCGAGGGGAAGGGGTTCTAAACAGTGTGCTGTTGCTTTTAGACCCCCTTTTACGTGTAACCATTTACTTTCAAAAGATTATTTATTTGAAGCCCATCCAAGTCTTGGATCTCTATAAATATTGATGCAAATATAATTTCAGTGATATTAAAACATGTTTACACTAAGCTTGTGTACCTGACTTCATTCCCTTCTTCAAAGAGTAGATGTTCAAATCTGATGGCTGTGGAGGTTTGGTATAGTCTAACTGGTCAGTTTGAATGGTAAAGCTGTACGAAGGTTAATATAGTACATTATGCTTACACCGTTATTTAATGAAGATTTATACACAGCATAAAGTGCCCTCTGCATATTCCCACTCATGGGATGCTCTGACTGGTGCAGCCTTGAATGGTAGAATTCTAGATGGCAGTAACTGTTGGAGCACTCGCTCATCTCCTTTGCCCCACCCTTCAGTGAACATCGAGTGTTTCAGGCAAGGATATAAAAGGGGTGTGGTTCTCCAGCTATCTCAGTTCCTTCTAACCACGACCAGCTAAACAGATTTGTGTGGAGACCCGTGATTAGCTGGCTAATTTAGATCTTAGGTGTTAAGTGTTAGTTTTATTAGTGGTAGTAATATAGTTACTTGGGTGGAACTGAAGAAGAAACACGGTTTCAAAAGATGTTTCCAATGCCCTTGAGTCCAGATGAGCTAATTCCAAAAATGAGGCTTGAGGCACCAGTGAAACAAGAAGGTACTGTGGCACCAGGGGCTGGTAGCAGTGGGGCACTGCAGCAGATAGTAGCCGAGGCACAGGCTCATAGATTGGATCTCAGCCTCTGTTCAGCCAGAGAGGATCAATTACAGTAAAGGAGCAAGAAGAGGATGTACTACAACAGACTCAGATATGTATTTCTCCAGAAAGCAAAGATCACATAGAGGAATTTAGAATTTCTCCTCTTTTGCCATCACCTGAAATGCTTTTTGGTTCTTCAGAGAACTTTTTTTCTCCAATTTCCCTTCTTCAGGCCAGGGTATTACTATCTCCAGTTATATCTGAACTAAGAATAACTTGAGAGTGGAGGAAGAGTATGGATCGCGGAAAGGATCTGTAGAGGGTGTATTAAGGACAAAGATACCTATATATCTTGAATTGATCTGGGCAAAGATGTATACCATCAGATCTGACTATGGGTTTCTGGCCTGACTAGCAAATACCACCTTGGATTTGATGGTAACAATGGCTTTCTCCAGCACCTTACTAAGAATTTGCTATGTATGGGACTATTTCTCCAGTTAGGTTCAAAGAGGAGGTATAATTACCGGACCTGAAGGGTACTGATCCAATAAAACTTACAAGCTTTGCTATGTCTCCTATATCAAGGAGAGAATTAACAGAAAAGGAGGAATTAATGGAGTGGTGAGAGTCCGATCTGGACTCTGGAAGAATGACATCCCCAGATGAGAACGTAAGGGGCAAGTCAGCCTCGTCACCTTCAGAAGATACAGTGGCATTCATGAGTTAGTGCATTTTTATATACTGGGAGCAACCACTAGACAAAGGGTTACTCTTCCCTTATTGGAAGGGCTGTTCCAACCAGTGAAGGCAGTCTGAAACAATCAAAGAAGGCTGACAAATTGTACCAGTTTTCTTGGAAAGATATGGCCACGTTTCACACCCAATCACGTCCCAATTCATTGGTTGTAGAAGCAGCTTTAAAGATAGAGGTGCTCAATTGCACTCCACTCCCTCTGATGTAGAAGGGAAAAGACGATGTCATTGGTAGGAAAATGTTTTCTTCTACTGCTTTAGCCATGTGTGTTTCAAATTGAGGTCACAGCAAGGCAACAGTGTCGTCAGTGGGGGGGAATATTATTCATCAATATCTGAGGATAAGAGATTTAAGTGCTCTGCTCTTGGAAGGGCAGCACATTGCTAAATATCAATTGAGTAGCATTTGACTCTTCAGATGCTTCAGCCATCGCTTTAAGAAGCATGCATGGATCAGATCAGCAGGCCTACCTCTACGAAGATGAGGATTGAAGACCTTCCTTTTGAAGGGGAAGGTCCATTCAGTGTACGGATGGATGGAGCACTAAAAAGATGAAAAATATGAGCTCTACAGCTAGTTCTCTGGCCGTCTTTATGAATAAGATCGTTCACAACTCCAAATTTTAGATATCAAAGACAGTATGTAGTCTTCTACATTGATTCCTTAATAATGCCAAGGAAGGAATT